GGGGGTGGGGGGGGTGGGGTGTTCACTGCAACCGGGCATTTATTAATACATGATTCGACAAGCAGTGTACCAAACAACACCTCTCCAAGATATTTTAGCTGCTAAAGTGCCTGCTGCAGCATATCTCAGTATGATGACAAAAATTGATTTGGTGCTAAAATGTCCTAGACGCTTCCTTTACACATAGATAGACCTTACCCCACTCCATTTTCTTTAACGATTACCATGTTTATATTTCACACAAGTGAAAGCCATGGTTGCCTAAGTAAGTACTTGAAGTAAGTACTTGTTTCTTGAAGTAGTTAGTCCTGAAATATCCTAAAGTGAATTCTGTCATACTTCCAAAAAATCCTAACAGGCGATCTTTATTCTAAGGCATGGTTCAGCACTCATCTTCTGAGCTTTCCACTGACTGTCTGTGTCTTACAGGCCAAAACTATTGCAAAATGCAACTGGTTTTTATTTGTTCTTGAGCTCTGCATATCTGTCCCTTCTTTTTCTTGATAGTTTGTGTTAGATAGTGCAGGGCTAGGGCCTGAGTAACAGGCCCTGAAACAAAGCTGATCTCTAGATGAACCTCACAACTAAACGTTATCCATTACTAATACCTGTTAATCAGTAAAATCTGTATTATTAGTATGTGATCACTAACAAAATATGTATGCTCACTAGTGAAAGATGCAGCTTAGACAGAACATAACCAGCAGTGAGGATGAAATGCTGGGAGAATGTATCCAACTGCCCCTGTTTAGCCTTGTCCAAGGCTGAGATCCCAAGTGCTTGTTCAGCCTTGTTAGAAACTCCCTTGGTTCTCCCCCGAGCCCTGGCCAGGCTCCATGTGGAATCCAATGGGAGGATGAAACCAGATGTGCCAGCTCTTCTGGCTTGCTGATTTTGGGGTATGTAAGGGTGGACCCGCTCACAGCGACTTTGGAGGCCTCAGCTACGGGTGGACGCACCACATAGGATTTCCCACTTGCCGGGAAAGGCTCTGCAAACCCTCGCTGTAACCGGGGCTGCCTGCGGGTCTGGGCGATTGCAACGGGTGCAGGTGCTGAGGGATCTTTCTTAATCGCTGTTCTCCCCGTCCTGTAGTAATGACTAGGTGCATTGCCTTGCTTAACTGTATGGAGTAATAATTAAGTGTACCCTTCT